GTAATTGTCAGTGGCAACACATGATTAGTATACACGCCCCGTGAAGATCCGGGTTAAAATTGGTCTCCAGCAACCCATGCTTGCCGTAAAAGACTACTCACGTCATCGGGTTGTCAGACTCGCTGACTTGGTCGATTCATGTCACCGTATCCCAATAACGGGGATTGATGTTGAAGATGTCAATCACTGGATTGTCTGGTTCTTTAAAAACCGCCGTCATATAGCTGAAATATTGCTAAGTGCGGCGTAAAACAACAACAAAAACTAGTGATGTCGTGGCAAAATTTGAACAGCAGTATTGATTTCTTTGTTTACCTTTGCGTTTCAATTTGGAAATCACCTCGTGACAGTAATTGCCTAACTCCTACACAAACATGGACGTACGACAGTAGCGTAAGTCCCACGTATTCGCGGAGCTTCTACAGTTACAGCGTATCTCCCATAGACTGTACCATAAACATACGACAGTCGTAACGTAACTCCTAAGGACTGTGTAGCATAAACTTACGACAGTCGTAGCATAACTTCTACATACGCACGGACTCAAGACAGTCATAACGTAACTCCCACGGACTCTGTACCATAAACGTACGACAGTCGTAGCGTAACTCCTACGTACCCACGACAGTCATAGCGTAACTCCTGCGTACTCTGCACCATAAACATACGAAAATCATAGCGTAACTCCCACTGACTCTGTACCATAAACTTACGACAGTCGTAGCATAACTCCTACATACGCACGGACTCAAGACAGTCATAACGTAACTCCCACGGACTCTGTACCATAAACTTACGACAGTCGTAGCATAACTCCTATATACGAACGGACTCACGACTGTCATAGCGTAACTCCCACGGACTCTGTACCATAAACTTACGACAGTCGTAGCATAACTCCTACATACGCACGGACTCAAGACAGTCATAACGTAACTCCCACGGACTCTGTACCATAAACTTACGACAGTCGTAGCGTAACTCCTACGTACCCACGACAGTCATAGCGTAACTCCTGCGTACTCTGCACCATAAACATACGAAAATCATAGCGTAACTCCCACTGACTCTGTACCATAAACTTACGACAGTCGTAGCATAACTCCTACATACGCACGGACTCAAGACAGTCATAACGTAACTCCCACGGACTCTGTACCATAAACTTACGACAGTCGTAGCATAACTCCTACATACGCACGGACTCAAGACAGTCATAACGTAACTCCCACGGACTCTGTACCATAAACTTACGACAGTCGTAGCATAACTCCTACATACGCACGGACTCAAGACAGTCATAACGTAACTCCCACGGACTCTGTACCATAAACTTACGACAGTCGTAGCATAACTCCTACATACGCACGGACTCAAGACAGTCATAACGTAACTCCCACGGACTCTGTACCATAAACATACGACAGTCGTAGCGTAACTCCTACGTACTCACGACAGTCATTGCGTAACTTCTGCGTACTCTGCACCATAAACATACGAAAGTCATAGCATAACTCCTACGGACTCTGCACCATAAACATTCAAAAGTCATAGCGTAACTCCTACGGACTCAGTACCATAAACTTACGACAGTCATAGCGTAACTCCTACGGACTCTGTACCATAAACGTACGACAGTCATAGCGTAACTCCTACGGACTCAGTACCATAAACTTACGACAGTCATAGCGTAACTCCTACGGACTCTGTACCATAAACTTACGACAGTCATAGCGTAACTCCTACGGACTCAGTACCATAAACTTACGACAGTCATAGCGTAACTCCTACGGACTCAGTACCATAAACATACGACAGTCATAGCGTAACTCCTACGGACTCTGTACCATAAACTTACGACAGTCATAGCGCTGATATCGGCAGGACTACTACGCATGTATGTACAGGATACTGAAAGGCTCGGTCAGCTATTTCATACTGATATAGTTAACTCTGAATGCATTGAATGTGGCACGTTTGACTCTGTTCTATCATTGTCTACATCCAATAGGAAATAGCAAAAACAGTCTATTAGACTATTTTATGAGTTAAATGAATAGAATACAATAAAAAGTGTTGAATTAATACAGGCGTAAATAATTGCTGGAAACCTGGGTTTTGTCTGATAACGATAAGCTTCTCTGTTTCCATATGTCCAAATGCGCGTGTGTGTTATGTGTAATGTGCCAATTACGTGACGATGGCCTGTAAATACTTGAATCTGCTTCAGGCAATCCAGATAATGATACTATTAGCCACGTTCCACACAGCCGGAGTACGTTGACATGCCATCACCCGAGCCTTCGAGCCTAAGTCTTTGTTTAAAGGTAGAAACAAATGATAACTTATCCCCAACATCTTGGGCAATCCAAACATAGGAAAAACCACAAGAAAATAATAGTGTTCTGATAGCAGATGCCCATGTATGTTGGCCATTATTATCTACAGATAAGATACTGACAACCGGCAACTCTGGTAAAGATAACAACCTTATGCGCATTTGCAAGGTACATGTACTATTAATTATGCACCGACTTCCTGACCGAATATCTCTCCAAGGGCTACTTGAAATAAGTAAATATAAACACCGCCAACTAAACAGAGTCAAGCGATAACCTCTCGTGGCAAAGTGTATCGGCGTGTCATTCGTCACCACTCCCCTTTTCGTAACCTGCAAAAAGCCATTCGGCATGTTTCGGAATGACACGAATTGTTACGAACGTCGCCGCGTGAACACGATTAAAACGGATATAGACTGTGTTGGAGTTATTAACCCCCTTCTCTGTTTCCGTAATACCGTAGTAATTGTAAATTTGGACATTGACACCTGGTTATTGCGTGTTTATGTTTTTATGCCATTCTCGATATTTTGGACTCTTTTGTAGTCATGTACTATTGAGAATATCAACAGCTTGTCATCATAAGCAGTGAAACGTGTTCATTTCGGGTCGGATGTTTGTACGACACCGTCCGTATTAACAGGGTTTCACTGTATGTGCAAGTTTTCTGGTACAGGTTCGCGTTCCACAAAGCGATCGCAACGCTAAGACGACCGTAACTTTAACATAGACTTACGAAAGTCTCAGCACTAAGATCGCTTTGTGGAACGGGACCCAGGTTCTGTATGGCAGATTCAGAATTCAGGATGGTGAAAAGGACTTATCGATTGTACTTTTGTTAAGTGATGCAACGTGTTTGTCACTGGCGGTCAACCCCATACCATACCATCTTCGTTATAAAAGTCCAGTTTCCACCCTTGCCGAATTAGGCTGGAATTATGGAGTTTGGCTCGGCTAGCGAGTCTATGCATAGTCAGACCGCCCCCGTGGTCTTGTGGTTGAGCGTCCGCCCAGAGAGCGGAAGGTCCGGGGCTTGTTGTTACCCTGCCTGCATGGCGCTCGACATAAAAAGGGGCTCAGAAGTCAGTACAGTGGTCGGCTCGGAGTCAGTATCGTGTGTCTGAGTGGGGTATTCATGTTAAACTGTGTCATGGATGGTATCTCAGTGGGCATCAGTCGCGAAATAAGTGCAATAATCTTGCATCGAGGCATTGTCCAATCAAAATCGTCGACGAAATCGACATCCGGTTCGTAAAATTTCGGTCGATTGCAGGATTTGCAAAGCATGTATGCCGACTACCAACTTTGCGTCAACAGATATTTGCCAAATCTTTTCATGTTTTTAATACGATGCTCACGTGATTTGATGCACTTCGCGAAGTAAGAACCGTTTTATTACAATATAGGTCTTGATTATCGATGAAATCCTCTTTACTGGGCGACGCCAGTTTATTTGAAGCAAATGCAAGTGATATGAGAGGTGGACTCTGATCAATGGGAGGGACATAGAAGGGACATAACTCGTAATATCCACTGGTGGCGCTATGATCGAGCCCAGAAATTCTAGCCTAGTTCGGCAGTTACAGTAAGTTAACTCCCTTGTTTCGGGAAGATAGTACCATACTGAACGAGCCAGTTAAACACATGCACTAAAACAAGAAGCAGCTAGACGCAGACCGGGCCTCTTCACGACCCTGGTTCTTTGAGCACCATGTCCGTCCTCGTGGGTCCCAACAGAGTGGTGGGGGCACGGGTGGCCCAGTCGTCTAAGGCGCCGCGATTCGCTGTGCAGAGTTGCGTCCCTTGGGCACGCCAGAAACCTATGATTGTGGGTTCGAATCCCGGTTTGCCCCGATTATGTTTCTAGGTTTGTCAGCTCCATACCCGTGGTCGTTGGTTTCACCGAAGTGGTAAACGTCTGAGACCTGCATCGCTTCGGGCTTTCCTCCCACATTAAGCTGACACGCCGCGATATAACTGGAATACTGTTAAAAGTGGCGTTAAATCCAACTCACACACTCACTAACCAAACAGAGTGGTAAACATGCAGCTACAACCTGGGTCACTTCAGGCATTCCTCCTACATTAAGCTGATGTGATGTTACATGACTGAAATACTGTTCAGAGCAGTGAGAACGAGAGTGGCAAACGTCAAAGACCGCCATCACTTTCCTCCCACAATTAGGCCGGCACATCGTGATATATGGAGGTTATCGCCCTTGTTTGTTTTGGGATGGTAAATACCCTGTATTAGGAATAAACACTCCTTTATCATGATGTCATAACTGTACTATTAACATTGTGTGTTTTCACGGAATCTGCGCATTACTATATAGTATATCTTGAGGAAGTATAGTCCTACGTACAGGCAAACTAACACATATTTTTGGAGTAATTGCCCTTTTTCAAAGGGGAGCTACTCTTGTCTGTGAGACGTCATGGTTTTTTTATATTCTGCGTGGCATGTCATAACGTTACGTCCCACACAACGATGAAATGAAACAAGAACAATTGGGCCATATTTCGGCCCAGTCCAACTGTTTTAAATTTGCGAGAAAAAAAAAACCTGGAGAAAGTTGCAAAAGCTTGTAAAATGCTTCAGGTAGATCCTGGATAACCTCGTTGGATCGGTGGGGTAGCCTTGGGGCGAAAGTGTTCGCTCGCCACGCCAGAAGACCCAGGTTCGATTCCCCACATGGGTACAATGTGTGAAGCCAATTTCTGGTGTCCACCGCCAGGCTATTGCAGGAATATTGCTCTCTCTGGAACTCTGGAACTACGATTCATTTTTGTTTTAATTCGGGACTTATGAAAAAACCTGCCTGACATAATTATCCGAATAACTATGTCAAGATCACGTTCAGGAGTTACTAGGGACACATATACTTATCAACAAACAGAGTGGCTCGGCGAGATACTACAGGGGTGGGTGTATATCTATCTACACAAAGTACACCGCAGTTGGAGCTCTGCCCTTGAACAGGTAAGACACGTGTTACTCTTTGTCAACACATAGCGAATGTGTGGTGCATGTGGGAGTGACTGGCAAAATGTCAATATTACATCAGCGAGAATACCACAGTTGTATTTACAGTTTATACGTCCAGTAATTGGTACCTCAGCTACACCTTATTCATTATACGAAATGAGCATCGCACCTGTATATATTTGTTATACGCACAAAGCATCGAAGTTATATTTGCAGTTTATACGTAGTTATTGTTACCAGAGCTACACTTTACTCTCAAAACGCAATGCGTATCGCAGTTATATTTACAGTTACGCATTTACAGTTCACGCGTAACGTGCATGACAGTTGTTTTTACAGTTTATACTTAAATTGTAGCGCGACTATATTTACCGTTCCTACGTAAAATGTATTGCAACTATATTTACAGTTTATACGTAAAATGTATTGCAACTATATTTACAGTTTATACGTAAATGTATCGCAGCTATATTTACAGTTCATGCGTAACGTGTATGACAGCTATTCTTACAGTTTATACTTAAAAGTAGTGCAGCTGTATTAACAGTTTATACGTAAACTGTACCACAGCAATATTTACAGTTTCTACGTAAAAAGTATTGCAGCTATATTTACAGTTTTTCGGAAAATGTATGGCAACTATATTTGCAGTTCATACGTAAACTGACCACAGCAATATTTGCAGTTTATACGTAAAATGTATCGCAACTGTATATTGTGAGATAATACGTAAAATGCTTCGCAGCTATATTAACATTTTATACGTAAACTGCACCACAGCAATATTTATAGTTATTTACAAAATAACAATGACCTTCATGTGCATATGATGTATATTTTATAGATTATTCGTGTCACAGCTAAGTACAGTGACTTCACAGAGTATCTCAGAAATGTCGAATAGTTGATGATGACGTAGCCAAGTAGGCATATAGCTGTCTACAGATGAAGGGGGTAGAGTTTCTGATCTGTTTCATTGTCGCCACGATGCCAATATAATCCCCAACTTTTGGTAACCCATTTATCTAAAGCGCCGCAATTCGTTGTGCAGACTTGCATCCCTCAGCTATCTTAGGATCCGCTGGTCGAAATCCAGATCGGTACTGAAAATGATCCCCGGTTTGTCAGCACCATGCCCGTGCTCGTTGAGTTCTCTTTACTGGCAGTAACATGGTGTGATATAACTACACTTTAAAAATGTGACAGTCAGATTCATCAGTTCCCATTAACATAGATATGTCCCTTCTTTGTCTTTAATATTGGGACCGCCTCCGTGGTCTAGTGGTAGAGCGTCCGCCCGGAGAGCGGAAGGTCCGGGGTTCGATCCCCGGCCGCGTCATCCAAAAGACGTTTAAAGATGGTACTTATTGTTACCCTGTCTGGCGCTCGGCATTAAGCGGCTAAAACAAGGACTGGTCGGCTCGGAGTCAATATACTGTGTCTGAGTGGGGTATTCATGTTAAACTGCGGCATGGTATCTCAGTGTGCTAGCACTATAAATCGGCATCAGTCCGGACTAGTACAAGCAGCCACACAAACACACACACGCACACGTTAAACCCCATTTCACCTCACCTCACCTCACCTCAAAGCATCTTCCCGAGGCAAGGGAGTTAACTGACTATAAAAGTCCAGTTTCCACCCCTGCCGAACCAAGCTGGTATTGTGGTGGAGTTATAATTTGGCTGGACCAACGAGTCAATCAAAATCGCGTAACGAAATCGACATCCGGTTCGTGAACTGCCGTGCATATTTCGGTCGATTGCAGGATTTGCAAAACATGTGAACTGTCAATTTAGCGTCAACAACCTTTTCATGTTTTTAATCCAGCTGGTCACGTGATTCGATGCATTCCGCGAAGTAGGACCCGTTTAATTATAATACAGCTATTGATTATCGATCAGATCGACTGCAATGGGCGCCGCAATCTTGTTTGAAGCAAGTGATATGAGAGGTGGAATCTGATTGGTCAATAGGATGGACATAGAGGGGACATTACTCGCAATAGCCACTGGTGAAGCTACGATCGAGCCCAGAAATTCCAGGCTTTTTCGGCAAGGGTGGAAACTGGACTTTTAAAGTCAGTTAACTCTCTTAGCTCGGGAATATGGTTCAAAGCGGCGTTAAACCCAACTCACGCACGCACTGGTATCAGCCTTGTCAGAGATCATGTAATAACTCGTTATCTAACACAACCTGAGGAGCGTACCACTCACTGCATTCTCAGTCGCCGACGTACAAAGGTGGTCACTTGTCATTACCCTTAAAAGGCACACCGGAGGCGGTTGGGTAGCCTAGTGGTTTAAGTGTTCGCTCGTCACGCAGAAGACCCGGGTTCGAATCCCGGCATAGGTACAAGGTGTGAAGCCCAATTCTGGTGTCCTCCCCCGTGATATTGCTGGAATAGTGCTAAAAGCGGCGTAACACCATACTCACTTACTTATTGTTAACCATTCATGGAAGGATATGTCTGATTGATTTGGTCACAGCAGAAATTAGACCCTCGTAAGAGCGAGTTTTCTGACGATTGCTTGTTCATGTGAAATATTTGCCGCCATAGTAATAGCTTGAGAAAGTGAGTATCGTCGACACCATTCAGTAATAAAAATCATTATTAAATTTTCACTGAGTACAATGACATTTCATGTCGGAACTACTTTTCCTGCGCTCCAATAAGGCTATTCTTGCAACGATTCGTGACTATGGATGAAGCCAAAAGATAATCAAAACAGTGGAAGCGAACACCGCCAAAGAAGGAAAATACTGTCCCGTCAGCTGGAAAAGTTATCACCTTCGTGTTCTGGGGTGCAGGGGGTGTCATCATGGTGGACTATCTGCCAAAACGCAAGACAATAAACGGAGCTTGTTATGCTGAACCTTTCAGGCAATTACGGGATGAAATTACGTGGGACGCTGTGAAAAGGTTCGCTTTTTCATTAAGACAATGTACCGGTGCACACGTCATTCCCTTCCAATCAACGGGTGTGGTTTTGAATCTTTTTCTCCTGGTGTGGCTCCATCTGTTTTCAAACATGAAGAAAGCTCTTGGTGGAGCCCATTTCGACTCGAACGATGACGTCAAATCATGACTTCGATAACGTTTTGGACAGTCAAGAGAAGGATTTCTACGAAACTGGGATAAAATCCCTCCAACGTCGTGGTGAACGTTTATCAAAGGTGATTACGTAGAAAGGGGATTACGTAGAAAATATATCATTTTAATGTCTTTAGGTCAAGTCTTCGTATACGAGGCTCAATTCTTATCAATCACCCCTCGTTGAGGGAATCTGTTGTGTTAGAAAGTAAATAAATCTACTTCAGACATCTGTGGTTGTTTGGTGTCTCTGGGTCTGTGTGAGATGATGAACGTAACGAACCATAAACCTAACGGTACGATCCAGATGAGTGAGTGAGTGAAATCAGCTGGGAAATCCCCGTGACGTCATTGGGAAACACCCGCTTTTTCGATCTCTAACACAAATGAGTTCTCTGTCAGAGTTACGATAGGTATCGTAGCTCTGAACGATCTGCGACAGGTTTACGATAGTTTCGAAAATCTATCTTATCTTTATCTTAAGATATCTTATCTTTGAACGTAAGTTGTTAAGATTTATCTTAGCTAAGATCGTTTCGAAAATCTAGGCCCTGGTCTTCAGCGTGACGAGTGAAGGCTTTAACCACTACGCTAGCCGATGCCCAGGTTCACAATGAAATATATCCAATGATTTGACTTATGTATGAAGTATGAAAAAAACATTATTGTCTTTAATGAAACGTGTGGAAACTGTCGTTGTCAAAGTCAGCAATATAGTCGTAGGTGTAGTCGTTATGATGGTCAGTTAAGTAGACGTAGGTACTTACATGGTGTAGTTATGATGCTCGTGAAAAAATCATACCGGTAGGTTGTCGTCATGATGGTCAGTGAAATAGATTCCGGGTTAGAACTGATCTCCAGCACTGACTGAGTATGGTTTTACGCCGCTTTTAGCAATATTCCAGCAATATCACGGCGGGGGACACCAGAAATGGGCTTCACACAGTGTACCCATGTCGGGAATCGAACCCGGGTCTTCGGGGTGACGAGCGAACGCTTTAACCACTAGGCTACCCGACCGCCCCTGATCTCCAGCAACCCATGCTTGTCGTAAGAGGCGACTGACGGGATCGGGTGGTCAGGATCGCTGACTTGGTTGATGCTTTGTGTGGTTGATGCTTTGTGCGGCGTTAAACAACAAACAAACAGGGAAATTATCGTAGGCACGTACGCGGTGTAGTCGTTATGATGATCAGTGAAATAGTCGTGGGTACGTTTACAGGCAGTCGTTATGATGATCAGGGAAATAGTCGTGGGTACGTTTATAGGCAGTCGTTATGATGGTCATGGAAATAGTCGTGGGTACGTTTATAGGCAGTCGTTATGATGATCAGGGAAATAGTCGTGGGTACGTTTATAGGCAGTCGTTATGATGGTCAGGGAAATAGTCGTGGGTACGTTTATAGGCAGTCGTTATGATGGTCAGGGAAATAGTCGTGGGTACGTTTATAGGCAGTCGTTATGATGGTCAGGGAAATAGTCGTGGGTACGTTTATAGGCAGTCCTTATGATGATCAGGGAAATAGTCGTGGGTACGTTTATAGGCAGTCGTTATGATGGTCAGGGAAATAGTCGTGGGTACGTTTATAGGCAGTCGTTATGATGGTCAGGGAAATAGTCGTGGGTACGTTTATAGGCAGTCGTTAAGATGGTCAGGGAAATAGTCGTGGCACTCGTGGGTACGTTTATAGGCAGTCGTTATGATGGTCAGGGAAATAAACGTAGGCACGTACGTGGTGCTGTCGTTATGATGATCAGTGAAATAGTCGTGGCACTCGTGGGTACGTTTATAGGCAGTCGTTATGATGGTCAGGGAAATAGTCGTAGGCACGTACGTGGTGCTGTCGTTATGATGATCAGTGAAATAGTCGTGGCACTCGTGGGTACGTTTATAGGCAGT